ATTTCCCGCATGTCCAGCGCTCCCAGGCCTCCCGTGGTGTTGGGCGACCCTCTGCGCACCGCGGCGTCCCCAGGCTGCTGCCCGCCGTATAGCCACGGCCGTGCTCGTCACTCGGCGCCCATCCATCACTTTGTTCAAAGTACTGATGAGCAATTGGGCGACGGGTGCTTTGCCATGAATCCGTGTCTTGGCCCATCGGGCCAATCCCGCCCTCGTTCCAAGCTCATCCCGCTTCCGAGCTTGGCCCTTGGAGGCGGCATCAGGCGGGGCCGTGGCTCGGGACGCCCCGCGGCTTCACCACCGAGTTTGTGCTCAAAACAACTAAGCCGATAATGAACCCGTTTTGTGATGCTGGCCTGAATCCTCCCCAAAACTGTGGTTTTCTTAAAAAAGGCTGTTTTTTCAGCCCACATTTCAGAAATAGAAGTGTGCAGGCCCTAATGGAGAAACAGCGTTTCATGGTGAGAAAGAACAACCAGCGTTTTCTCTGCTAGGGAAATAACCAATTGCTTTTTTTCCTCCTTGTTTTCGGTTCTAGTTACTGAACACCTCGTTGGTTGCAGGTCTCTCCACGTAGCCCAAGTGACATGCTGGATGGCACGTCCCGCGAGGGTACAGCACGCGTCGCTCCCGGGGACACGGGACACAATCAAACCCGCTGCATTCACCACCTTTCCCACATTATAAATAAGCCATTTAACAGCCAGGCTGCGGGACATCAACATTTTTAAAGATGAGTGGCAGAAATGCTGGTACCAGGGACTGGCACCCACAGAAATTCAGTGGAAAGCCGGCAGTCCCCGCGCCTGTTCCTTTTGCGTGGAAGGTTCTTCAGATTCTTTCAGGAAAACTAATCTACACTTAACAAAATACTATCAAGTTGTTTCTTGAGTTTAAAGAGGTGAAAGTCAAAAGAAAAAGCATTTACATTTTTATAGTGTTACTGCTATGGCAGCAGTAGTATAGTTAGGCATCGTTAGTAAATCCTCACAGCCCCCATCATTCTTCCAAAACACTCGTGTTTTCCTGTGCAAAACTGAGGGCCGGATCCTGAGCGGTGTCGAGCTGCAGAACGCCCCGTCCACCCGGGGCCGAGCGAGTTTACTCCAGCTGCGGATCCGGCACTAAATACTTGGAATAATAATAACGAAGAAGCCTTAATAAGCAGATCTTGGCTAGGTACATCCATCTATTATTTAGTGCATTTCTACTTTCTTTCTTTCTCACACACTGTTTCCCACACGAGTCTGATAAAAAATTCAACTGAAATATGTTTTAACACTAAGGATTAATTGGCTCAAATTGCTTCCGCGGCTCCCGACTCGCTGCAGTGGGTGCTATTAAATATTGCAGAGATTTCCCTCCTCTCGAGCAGGCTGCGCGTTACCAGCCTGGGCGTCTGCAGACAGCTCGTGTTGCAGCCCAGACCCTCACCCAAACTGCAAATGAGCGCAGGAACATCTCCTAATTGGATGCAACTCTCGTCTCCTCCAGTATCTAGTTACAGAGAGAAAATTATTTCTTTGAATAAATCCATAATTTCCACAGGACAGAAGTGTTTTAATGGCATCTTCTACCTGAGTCGCTTTCCTTTGGAGAACAAGAGGACAGAAGAGCTTGGTAAAGGAAAAGGACACCGTGGAGTTAGAAATTACCCCAATCCATTGAAGGAAACGTGCTAAAAGAAACGCTGATGTCAGGAAGAGCAAAGAGAAGGGCGGCACCAGATCCTTAGGGCTTCCTTTTGGGCATCTCAGAAGCTCATAAAAAGTGAAAAAAGGAAAGAGCTTCAGCAATGCTGCCGTGCCACCTCCCAGCAAGCTGCCTCGACGCAGGGGCAAAGGCGCAGTCCTGAAATCAGATCCTCAAGCCCAGTCAGTTATTAGTATGCAAGAAAACCAAAAGCAAAGCTAAGGGGAAGGCTAATTATAAAAATCCACAAAGTGTTAAAGCTTCTTTTCTGTAAAAAAACTCCTAGCCAAGTAAGTCAGAAGCAGGGAAGCTGTAACACTAACTCAAATGGCCACGGAACATACAGGTGTCAGTCTGTTACTGCTGAACTGCACTGGGCAGTGAACAGCTCCGCCAACAAGGACGCTTTTCCCAGTGCTTCGGTGGGTCCTGAAGTGCTTTTGCATCGTTTGCTTCAAAATAAACTGGGAGATTCCCCTGGAATCCCCGGCCCTGTTGTGCATCCGAGCTCTCCCGGGCCAGGCCGTGCCCTGTGCTTGTCCCGTCCTGCTCGCGATGGGACCTGCAGCCGTTCAGGTCCCGTTACCAACTGCGTTTGGATGCGACGGTAG